TTTAACTTTTATTTATATAATATAAAAAAATTAAATATAATTATTATATTTTTATTAAATAATATATTATTTTATCCCATACATAGCATGGGTGATATGTTAGTAATATCATAATTAAGGTCTCATTTGGGAACATACTATTTTAGTAACTTTTTAGCTTTTTGGCTAAAATATGAGGTAAAAAAAATAGTAGATTTGGAATGACTTTTTAATTTTTTAAGAAAAGATGTGCAAAAAGTAGAGAGAAGATGAAATCTTTGACTTTTTGGTATAAATTGTTGGCTTTTTAATTTTTTTAGTGACTTTTTGACTTTTTAGCTAAAATCATCACTTGTCAAACGAGGCCTAAATAAGAAAATTAGTCATAACTAAAAAAAATAATATATGACAACTATTGTTAACCATTTTACCAACTTGAGAGAGCTGCTAGGGGATGATGGGAATTGGGATGGTAACCTTGTGAGGTGTAACTTTCCCCCACCCCTAGCTGCCCTTATTTTGGGGACTCCACCCCCTTTTAACACTGGACTGGACACCCCCTTATGGAAGGGTTTCCCTGGTGGTGAGTTCTCTGTTTCATCTCTGTATAGTTTGTTGTTGGGTAATGAGAACAAGGAGGGTGGCTGGACATGGGTGTGGAAACTGATATTACCATAGAGACTGAAAGGCTTCCTGTGGACTATTCTTCATGGGAAGCTTCTCACCAATCAAATGAGATTGAAAAGATGATTAACCAATAACCCTTAATGCCCTAGGTGCAATGGGGTTGAGGATATTAACCATTTATTTAGAGATTGTTACATGGCAAAAGAAGTGTGGCTCACTGTTTTTGATAAAAAGTGGTACTTGGATATGCTGAGGAGGCCTTGGATGGATTGGCTCAAGAGGAATGCTAAGAGCAAAGCACATTTTACTGACCAACTCTCTTGGTATTCTATTTTGGGAAAATTACCCACAGGTCCTGTTTGAAATATGTGTACACTATTTAATCCAACAACTTTTTAAGTAGACCTAAAAGTTTTGCTTTTCCTCTCTCTCTCTCTCTGCTTTTTGCCTCATTATTTACATTTTCCTCTGTCTTTTTTCCCCTGCATTTTCCTCTCATTTTTTTTGTCATGGATGACGACCAGTGATCGCACCTTTCTTATTCTCTTTCTCTTTCTAATATATAGTCGCCGATGACCGAAGATTACCATTGATTGGGGTTCATAGGCAACCACAAACCATCGACATCAACTCGTGACTTCATCCTCATCGACGGCGAAAAAGATGACTAGATCTACTCAAATCTGATGAGTAGGTCTACATGAGATCCAACTAATCTAAACCAAAATAATTGCCGGAGTATAATATTCTTTCTATATATCTATTCTTTGCTTCAATTTCTCAATTTTTCTACCTTTTCTCTGTTACACAAGTCTATTTTTCTGTTTTAATGGGAAAAAAATTTCAAATTGTGAAAATAAGTTGTTTTCTAGTATTCGTTATAGGCGGTGAAAACTATAAAATTTTGCAATTTCAATTTGTTTTTTTTTTTTATGCTG